TCAATCTACTGTTATGGCTTGAATCTAGTTCCCCGCCCCCCCCCCCCAAAGCCTCATGCTCATAGGTGGGACTGTTCAGAGATGGCTGGACCTAGGGTGTGTGCTGCTGGGATTGATTCATGGTGCCATGCTAAAATTAAGGCTGTCCCACCCTGAGTGTTAGTGCTAACCAGGGTGGGTAGCCTGGACAAGATAAATGGGACATAAAGGATTGCTGTTGGTCACTTGCTGCTTGCTGCTTTTGCTGCCTTCTGGCTGCCATGAACTGTTTTTCCTCTGTGATGCCCCTCAGCCATGCCACTCTGCCTTGGAGCTAGCTGATTATGGACTGAAACCTCTACAAACTGTGAGCCAAAACAGACCTTTCCTCCTTTAACTTTAGGTGTCAGGTATTTTATCCCAGCAATGAGAAAAGTAATTAATACATGTACCTTCATCATAAATAACAAGCAAACTTTACCAGCAGAAAAGATGGTATATTATATGAGTTTTCTGTGTCTCAAAAAATAGAAAAACATATCTGCATTTCTCTGCAAGTGTTTATTTTCATCAAGAAAAACTGATGGGGGGCTGGGGATTTAGCTCAGCAGCACAGCACCTGCCTGGCAAGTGCAAGGTCATGGGTTCAATTCCTGGTCCTGGAAGAAAAACAAAAAAACAGAAAAACTGATGGGAGAAAATTTTGGAATTTGATGGAGATATAGCTCAATGGCATAAGTGCCTGCTTGGCAAGCATAAGGTCCTGAGTTTGATTCCTGGTACTCTCCCCCTCAAAAAAGAAAAGAAAAATTTGGAATTTATAAAATTCTACTCATTCAATATTTTTCTAGAATGGGGAAGACTTATTAATAGAGAGGAGGAATTCATCTCTAGGACCACCAATGTTCCAAGGGTATATGGTTTGCAAGGCTGATATGACAGATGTGAAAGCACTTAGAAAAGAGAAAGGAATTAATTACTATTGCTCATACCAAATATGAATTCCTCTAAAAATCTCACATGGTTATAATTTGGCAAAACAGGTAAGGCCAGGAGAGACTCCCAGTGGGCTGGAGACTAGGAACTCTAACGGCACAGGCAAAGTCAGGTCTTCACAGAAGTCATTCCCTGTGCCTGGAAAAGCTCCAAGAAAATTTTTTATTTTCTTTACAGCCCACTGTTACCAGCTACTCCAAGCAAATGGATATACCTGGAAGAGTGTCTTGTTCAATTTATATACCCAGTGCCAAGAATACAGATGGCACTGATTCAGTGCCATCTGTGGAGTGAATGAATGAATGAACACTAATGAATGAACCCTAAATGAATGGGGTGAATGAATGAATGAACACTAATGAATGAACCCTAAATGAATGAACACTGTTTCATTCATTCATTCATTTGAAATTGCCAGATAAAGTTGTATATTTACTATGTAAGACATTATAATAGAATCACTTCTATATCTTTGCCCACTTAACATTTAGTTAATTCCTCTAGTAAAGCACTTATCAGACATACCTAGTTACATTTTGGAGGACTAACTTTCCTGGTAGACTATGCTTTTTGTAGGAACAGACTGAGTTTCACTCATCTGAGCGTCGTCAATGTTTAACACAATACCTGGCACATGGCAGATGCTCAACGGTGGTTTTTCTTTCCACTGAGTTATAAGAAGTAGATTTGAGCCAGGTGTGGTGGCGCACACCTGTAATCCCAGCACTCAGGAGAATGAGGCAGGACGATCTTCGCGAGTTCGAGACCAGCCTAGGCTACAAAGTGAGTTTAAGGCCAGCCTGAACTGCAGAGCAAGACCCTATCTAAAAAAAAAAATTAAAAAAAGAAGTAGATTTGGGTGGAAACATGAGTGTAGGTGTAAAAAATCTTCCTAGGCTAGTCCTGCAATCCATGTCTAGCCCTAAAGTCATTAAGCTAGCAAAACCAATCTTTTTGTTCCCAGAAAGCTAGGAGTGCAAAGTGATTCTGACATGGTGAATTTTCTGGGAATAATTCCAGTCTCCTTAAAGAATTGTGGCCATGAGTGCTGATCTATATGTGGGTGCTACAACAAAATAAATAAGTGTTAGAAATGAAAGATACCTCCTCTAGGTCAACAGTAAAAATAGTGTAAAGTTTCCAAGAGAAAAGGTATCTTCTAGGGGCCATTCTATAAAGAGGAAGGAAACTGTATGAGTTACAAAAGATACACCTTACTCTCTTACCTCAGAGCTTGGAAATGACAACATAACAACTATGAACTGACAACAATTATTCTGTCCCTATTTCTCTATTATTGAGCTCTTATTACCCCAAGACTGGAGGCTGGACAACAGCTGAGGGCAAGCAATGACCTTGGGAGAAGTGATCTAGCACAATATGAATGTGAAGGAACTATTATTGTTTTTCTTTCTACCAAATATAAATCCCTACAAGAACCCTAAAGCCTTTAAAATTCAACTGAATGAGGCTGGGCCTTTGAGGGAATAATGACATCTACACAATGAGACAGTGGTAGGTCCAGAGACATGCTCTGACATGTGACCCCTTGGTGACACAAGTCAAGCTGTGCCTTACAAGATAAGCACCATGGAGAAAAAAAGAAAGGTGTCATCTCATACAGAGGAAGGAGTATCTGCAAAGACACAGAGGCAGTAGAGAGCACTGGTGCATGAGAAAATGTGCTTGAGATACAAAGTGCAAAAAGAGAAATCACCAAGAAAGGCAGGCGTGTAGTGCAAAAGACCTGCAATACTATGTTCTCAAGAAGAAGCTTCTAACATTTGTTTTTGCAGTACTAAAGACTGAACCCAGGGCCTCGCACGTGGTAGGCAAACACTGTACCACTGATGGCCCTTTTTCTAAAATTTTATTTTACTTTGACATACAGTCTCTTTGAGTTGTCCAGGCTGGCCTTGGATTTGTGATCCTCCTGACTCAGCCTCATGAGTAGCTGGGATTACACATATACGTCACCATGCCTGACAAAGCTTTGTTTTCATCTCATTACCTCCTCAGAGAGGTATCAAGGAGAACACAGGATAGAGGGATGAGAACCAACTTAGATATACAAACCAGACCATGAAAGAGGTAAAACTAGTATTGACAAGGAATGCTGATGTGAAAAAGATGCCCCTTTCTCTTCCCAAAGTTCACAAGTTATAAGACTGAACAGGACTTTTGGGTTTTTTGCTTTGTTTGTGGTACTGGGAATCAAACTCAGGACCTCGTCCTTGCCAGGCAGGCACTGTGCTGCCGAGTTATATCCCCAGGCAACTGAGTAGGACTTTTGAAAGGAGAAAAGGGATAGCACTTTTTATCTTCCTTTTAGCATCTGTCATTTTCTGCTTAGGAGCATAATAATCTATGCATTATTTCTACATATTCTCCTTCTGAGGATGAGTCAGGTCCTATTCTTTCATTCTGTAAAATTATTTTTCAGCCCATTCTGAATAGATAAGGCATCAACAGGGCCTAGCACAAAACAGATGTTCAACAGCCAGGCATGGTGACACATGTCTGTAATCCCACCACTCAAGAGGCTGAGGCAAGAGAATCACCCTGAGTTTGAGGCCAGCCTATGTGACACAGTGAGTTCAAGGTCAGCCTGAACTATATAGGAAGACCTTGCCTCAAAACAAGTAAGATGTTCAATAAATACTCCTTGGCATCATTGTATCTCAATAGAAAACACTTGAAGATATTCTCATCCAAAGATGAATTAGCATCTTCAGCTTTTGTGAAGAATCTGATAAAATGTATGGGGACTGAGGAAGTAGCTCAGCTTCCCTACCATGCACAAGGCCTTGGTCAATCTCCAGCACAGAGAGAGAGAAAAAAAAAGAATTCAAATAAAAGCTATGAATTCTTTCTAGAAAAACTCAATACAGAAAATATTTTTATATATACTTTCAGGACACACCATGCCTAGATGGGTAAGATTAACTTACTCAAAGTCATAAAGTCAAAAAGTGGCAGAACCAAGCCTAGAACACAAATTTCCTGGTTCCTAATGCAAAACTCTTCCCATTTCAATGGAACAATTTTAGTAGAGCATGTTTCCTGCTGGGAGCCTGCCTGACATAGGCCTCAAGTATGAATGTTCTTCTCATGAAATTTCTTGATACAAGGATGACATTTAAGAAAATATGGCAAGTTTAATGGCTTTTGAGGCCCAAATACAATGGTTTGGATCCAGAGAGAAGCAATGGGAGATGTGTGCTATTGTATAGGAGCATTAAAATGAGCCAAAGAACCAAAACTATTGAAGTTTTCCCAAGAAGAACAGCAAAATCTTCCTTTTTTTTTTTCTTTTTGGTACCAGGAATTGAACTCAGGACCTTGCACTTGCCAGGCAGGAGCTTGTGCCACTAAGCTATATCCCTGGCCCAAAATCTTCCAGCTATACCATTTGTAGAAAGTGACAGAAGCAAGACTCAAAGCCAAAGCCAGGTCTTTTGAGTTTCAGGCCAGTACTGTGTCCACTCACGATAAAATCCTCTGTACACACAGAGCAACTTAATGATCACAGAAGCAATCATGCAGGTAGGTCAGAGAAATGGGCAAAATAATTGCATAATGCCTAGAGCTAACTTCCAGTTATCAGTGATAACAGATTCAAGAAGCACATGAATAATTTAAATCTGCAAATACTATAAAAATCCGCTATTTGGCTGAAAATATCAATCCACCTCTATTTGCTACACATCGTTCATTCAACCAATATGAATTCATACTGAATTAAGTATCAAGAAGATTTTATTTCTTTTTTAATTATCACAAATAATAAAGTCAAACCACTTGCTTTTTATCATGATAATCTGGCCAAGGGACAAAACTGGAAGTTGGTAGAAACATCTCCCGTCTGTATAACCCCAAACTAAATAACCAAAGTGGACTGAGGGTCAACTCCCTATCTTTTCTATCTCCAACATTATCCACCCTATGCCCATGTGATCTTCAGGTCTTTGCAAAAGCGTCACACTATCCTTTTCTATCCTTTTCACACTTCCCCTGCCACTTACCTCTTGTGATATAACTAGGTGCTTGTATCTTCCAATGCCATGAGTGGGCTTTGTCCTGTACTGCCGACTGGTACTCAGTAGAATGCCACCTAAAAGAGAGAAAATAGGCAAACCTCTTTCTAAGCTCCTCAAGGAACAAAGTGTTATGGTTTGTGTCTGGGTGTCCCCCCAAAGCCTCATGCAGTCATGGGGTGGGGCTTCTAGAGTTTGTGACTGATTCATGGTCCAAAGCTGGGATTATGGGTGTGAGTGCTACATCTGCCTGGGGCAGGGAGCCTGCATATAAGGGAAGGAAAGAGTCTTGCTCTTTCTGCTCCTCCCTTTTTGCTCTTGTTGCTTTTGCTGTTTTCCATTGCTATGAACTGTTACCCCTGCCTTGAAGCCAGCTGATTAAGGACTGAAACCTCCACAAACTGTGAGCTAAATAAACCATTCCTTCCTTAAATTTGGGCACTGGGTATTTTGTCTCAGCAACAAGAGAAAAGTAACCAAGACACAAAGTAAGTAAGGAGATAAATTCTCCACTGCAGAGCTGGGAACATTTGGGACTAGCGGGCCTCTTGGTGGTTTAAACAACCAATTATTTCTTGATCCTGGATAGATTCTCAGTTTGTCCTCCTTTTCTCTCCTTTTTACCCCTGGACTATATCCAATCCCCACCACCTATCCTGCTTTGAAACACCCTGTCCTGCAAAAGCCACTGCAAAGAGGGGGACAAAAATATATTCTCATGGGGCTCTCATCTTTTTTTTCTTCAACAGGCAATAATTCTTTTGAAGTTTTTCAATGGGAATTATATACAGAAAGAAACAGGCAGCAAAAAATAACCAGCAAAAAATAGGTTCACAGAGTTACATAAAGTTTAAAAAATCATTTAGCACTAGGGATGTAGTTCTTCAATAGACTGCTCGCCTAACATGCACAAGCACCTATGTTTGATCCCCAGTACCACAAAACAAACAACAAAAATCATCTAATTTGATTTATTTATGCTGATATGGAAAAGTACCCAGCATATTATTAAGTGAACAACAACAAAAACAAAAACTTCAATACAGAACTATACATATATATGCTATTACTGGATAAAAAGAGGATCTCAATAACATACACTATAGTAGATCCAGAGAAGTGACACCCAAATCCTCCTTCAAAGAAGGACTTGTTGCCTATATGTTGCTTTCACATAAATATATATACAGATACATATATTCCATTTTAATCTTCATTAATGTCCTTATTTACAAATAAAGAAGAAATGCTTGCTTAAAAAATATGGTGACCAAAAAAAAATCTGGTGACATGACCAACTAGTAACCAAGCAAGTAAGTGGTAGAATTGCCATTTAAACTTGGGTCCACCTGACTGTACAGCCTATATCCATAACTCCTAGGTCAGTGATGGTAAACATTTTATAGCTTTCAATGATACAAAAGCCCGCTGTGGCATGTGTACCATCGGTTCGCCACCACTGTCCTAGGTCAGCACCTCTGAATTTCTAGAATATAAAGTCTGGCTAGACCTGATATTTTCTAGCTCTGGTCTCAGTTCTTTTTCTCTGCCCTTCCATTGGCACCAGCTCTGTACTGGTCTGCTATGTCTGCCTCTCTGTCTTGCTTATTCTCTATTTTCTGGAGAAGTCCTAATCTAGGTTCTCTGCCCTTTCCTCCTGGCTCCTGTGATTCTGCCTTCATCTCCTCAGGGTCACCACTCTGTCAAGGGGTAAAAGAAGGTGGAGTGGAGAAACCTAAACAATATAAAGTGAACGGTTTTTTTAACTACCACCACCACCACCACTCTGCCAATGATATTAGGGTTTGAACCTAGAGCCTTGCTCCTGGTAGGCAGGTATGTGACCAGCTATACGCTCAGCCCTTTTTGATGTTATTTTGAGAAAAGATCTCACTAAGTTGCCCAGGCTAGCTTCGAACTCTGGATCCTCCTGCTATAACTTCCAAAGTAGCTGGTATTACAGGTATGTGCCACCATGCACCAACAGACTCCTCTTTTCTAAAATGGGATTCCAAGAAAGTCTGCTCTATATCAAGTCAATCAGAGAATCTGGCTGAATCTGGCTTCTCCCACATTTACAATACTTATTACATATTTTGGCAAGACAATCTAGAGATATTATAGTCTTTAGCATGCTACACATTCCATGACAACAACTGTATCTCAGACAGTTACAAAGATAAGTAAAATATGCTACTTTCCTATGAGATACTCAAGGTATACAAGGAATGATGATGGGAAAGCAGATAATTACCTCTTGTGGTACAAAGTACTTTAGTGGAGATGAGGGTAACGTTGTGGGTACCCAGAGGAAGACAGAACTAACTCTTGCCTTTTATTTTTATTTTTTTGAGAGAGGGTTTTGCTCTGTAATTCAGACTGGCCTTGAATTCACTATGTAGCGCAGGCTGGCCTCAAATTCACAGTGACCCCCCTACCTCAGTCTCCTGAGTTCTGGGCTTATAGGCAAGCACAACCATGCCTGGTCTAACTGTGGTTCAGGGTGCAGGAGTAGCATCCAAAAAGGGTAATGGCTGCGTTCTTCAGTAAGCAGACCTGCTTGGAAGCCCACCAGTGATTTCAAAATACAGAAGGAAAACTGATCTTTGAGATAATGATACATCTGAAGTTGAAAGAGCTGCAGATGCTTGTCTCAGTCTCTCATTTGCAGGACTGCCTTGGAAAGGAGACTTTAAATTCAGTTTGGGACAATTCCTATAATTAGAGCAACTGGTTAATTAAAAAGCTGGTTGAAAACCACTGTTAAATTAACCACTTCCCTCCCTTAAATGAAAGGTTTGCTTAAATTGCTAAATTAGTTGTTTTAATTGTAAAATGTAAGAGTTTAAAAACTTCTGATTTCCAGTAAGTTCAACTAGATTCTTTCCCTTTACTTTGTGTCATTATGCTGGGCTGCCTGTTGTCACATTATCATTACAGCCTCCTAAGAGAAAACGCCACTCTTCACTAAGATGCAAAGGAGGCTTTGAAAATCTTTCAGTTACCACAATTATATGTAAGCATATGCTGATTTCTTTCACTTCACTTTGCTTTCCTTTGTATGTGCCAAAGACAACTGCCCTTCAATATCTGTTTACTAAAGTGGGGACTAAGCTCACCAATCTAGGATGGGGGTAAAAAACTTTATTTATCTTTTCCTTGAAATTGGAATAAGCATTTTTAGCAGAGTTATACAGGTAGGGAAAGAAGGGGAACTGGTATAGCCCTAGCCAAGAATCTAATTACAGCATATTCTCTGCATTCAGTAGACACTAAGTCCCTCAAGGGCACAGACAATGCAAACGCCTGGCAAACAGCATATGTTCAGTGAGTGAATATTTCAAAAACAAAACAAAAATGGTTCTTGAGGTATTTTACCAAGACAATCCGTAATGATTTGTCCCTGGCAGTTGCCCACTTTTTTTTTAATCAAAATTTCTTTTCATAATCCTTTCAGTTCTTTTTTTTCTTTTTTCTTTTTCATCTTTTTGAGACAGGGTCTTGCTATGCAGAAATCACTTTGTAGCCCAGGCTGGTCTCGAACTCACTATGATCCCCCTGCCTCAGCCTCCCGAGTGCTGGGATTACAGGCGTGCGCCACCATGCCCAGCAAATAAGACTATTTATTTATTTATTTGGGTACTGGGAATCAAACTCAGGACCTTGTGCTTGCTAGACAGGAACTTGTGCCACTGAGCTATATTCCCAGCCCTCAGTTCTTTTAATTACTTGGACTTTGAATATATCAGGTTTCTTGGACAATTTTTGCTCATGCTGTGATAAGAACACGCTACACTCCCTCCACTTAACCTCTCTGGACCTCTCCTTATATGTTTACTTCTACCTTTTTTTTGATGTGAATTTTATTTCTATTTTTTACTAATATGTTGCAGTAGGTAATGATTACATTCATCATGAAGAGTCGGTTACATTTATATAACATAAGCTAAATCTTGTCTTATCCTTTTCTCCTTTTCTCCCTTTCTACTCCCTCTATCTCTTGGTCCTATTCCCTTTTGCAAAAGATTTATCTCCCTGTTAGATTGAAGTTAAGAAAAAAAGATGGTCTCCAAAATCAGGTCCTTCCTCAGATACAGCCAGCTGGGATGGTACCGAGGGCCCACACATAAAGTGGAAATGTGAGTGTAGGAATATAGCACTGTTCCTTCCTCAACTTTTCTAAACGTAATTATAATCAATTTTGAAATATGTGACTTTAAAGATATTTCAAAGAACCTATTAAAAAAAAATCACAGCTGGAGATATAGCTCAGTAGTAGAGTGTGTGTCTAGCATGTATGAGGCCCTAAGTTTGATCCATGGTAGTCCCTGGATTAAAATCTTGTACTATGCATTTTTTTTTTTGGTACTGCAAATTGAATTCAGGACTTTGTGCTTGCCAGGCAGGCACTTGTGCCACTGAGCTATATCCCAGGCCCTGGATTAAAATCTTGGAAAGAAAAAAAAGAAAAAGGGGGAGGGCAACAAATCTGTCTTCTTTCAAGTGGAATTATCAAAGAGAAAAACCATGAACTATAGCATTTTGAAGGCTATGATATTAGCAAATATTAAAAGTAATATCAGTCAAGGTTGATGAGTACATGAAAAGGGATTCTCAAATATCAAATATTAAATGATGTAATCACTGCAGAGTAATTTGATAATATATATCAATAGTTTTAAAAATGTGCACTTCTTTTTATCCAATTGTTTTCTTTTGAAATGTGTAATAAGTAAATTAGATAAGGACACAAAGATTAGAGTAGAAGGATGTTCACCACAGTGTTATTTACACTGAAAAATCTTGGAGCTAACTTAAAATTTCCCAAGTTGGAAATGTTTTAGTAAATTATGCTATTATCCTCTACAGCTCTTTTTCAAAAGGTTCCTACTGGATCTTTTTCAATAGCACTGTTGTTTCATTTTTTGGTTTTTTTTTTTTTTTGTTTCCTGAGTCAAGGTCTCACTCTGTAGTCCAGGCTGGCCTAAACTTGTGACCCTCCTGTCTCACCCTCTCAAATGCTGGGATTATAGGAATATACTTCCACACCCAGTTTAATATGCCCTGTTTCATCCAATCTCTAAAAAGGAAAAGCCACTCTAGAATTAGGTAGTTATCGGATACTAAAATATACTGCAAAGCTACATACTGTAATCAATAGTATTGAAACACTCTGATAGTAGCATCCAATATACAACAGAGAGAAAAATGGTACAAGACGAAGTTTAAAAATAGGCTCAATTAGGGTCAGGGATATAGTTCAGCAGCACAGCACCTGCCTGGTAAGTGCAATGTCCTGAGTTCAATTTCCAATACCAAAAAAACACAAAAGAGAAGAATATATTTATAAAAAAAAAAATAGGCCCAGATATATATAGAAAACAGTATATGATAAAGGTGACATTCTCAAACCTACAAAAAGATGCATAAATGTTGAAACAATACCCATTCTGAGGTAAAAACTACATTCCTACCCTACTTCTGATCAGATGGATCAGTTACTTGAAGAAAATAAAACACCAGAAGATAACATAAAAGATTTTTAAAAATAATCTTGAAGTACAGATCTTCCTAAGACTAAAACAAAATCTAGAAATCACCACTCAATAAATTAGCTATGTAAAAATGTAAAACTGTTCAGCAAAAAACAAAGTCAATGGATACCTGTCTGGGAAAAATACAAAGCATATAAATTTAAAAATTGCTAATTGCCTTAATATGTAAGAACTATATTAAGATTTCTTACAAATTGAAAATGAAGAAATTTCTGGGTGTGGTGGTACACAACTATAATCCCATGGGAGGCTAAGACAAAAGGACAGCCACGAGTTTGAGGCCAGCCTGGGCGACATAAGCAAGTTCAAGGCCAGCTTGCATTACATAACAAGAACCTCAAAACAAAACAACAACAAAAAAGAAAAAGTAAATAATTCAATAGAAAAATAGGCAAAAAATAAAGGGGCAGTTCATAAGGTAAAAAATATGAATAGAAAATAAACATATGAAAAGATGAAAAATTCTCTCAAGAAATACAAATTAAAATGACATACAATACTTCCTTGGCCAAAAAAAAAAAAAGGTTTTCTAAAGCCTAGTTTGAGCCAGAAAATACAAATGTAAATTAACAGAACTTCTCTGAAGGGCAATATGGCAATACCAAAATTTTCAGTTCATACTTTACTGACTCAGCAATTTCAATTCCAAGAATTTGTTTTATAAATGTACGGGAAACAAGTTTACAAAGATATATAAAAATGGATGCTGCAGCAATGTTTTAAATAGCAAAAAAACTAAAAATAGCCTAAATGTCCAGCATTAAGTACTGTCATATAAACACATAATACATCTTCACATATGCATTACATTTTCCTGAAAGATATATAATAGAGGCTGGAAGTATCACTCAGTGGTGGAATGCATGCTCTGCGAGTGAAAGGTCTCGGGTTCAATCCCTAGCACCCGCCGGGCGTGGCAGCATATGCCTGTAATCCCAGCACTCAAGAGGCCGAGGCAAGAGGATTACTATCAGTTCCAGGCCAGCAGGTACATAATGGGTTCAAGGCCAGCATGAACTACATAGTGAGATCCTGTCTCAAAAAAGGAAACAAAAATCAATCACTAGCACCTTGCCCTACCATGCAGCCATTCAAAATAATGGTATATATTTTTCAGTATAAACAAGTTCACCACAGATTAAGTGAGAAAAATAATTGTAAAACAACACACACACACACACACGCATACACGAAATAATTCATGTTCTTACCAATAGTTCTAACTTATGTGAGGGGTGGACTTTGGTCCTTGTACTCTTCTCAAAGATGTATTAGGCATCCTTCTCAACAAAATTATGATAGAGTGCTAGACTGTCACTTTAAAGCAGGAAGATCATATCAGGAAATAATAACTTACCTGTACAATAAATAGGATTCTCTCCCCAAGTTCTGAATCTAAGGATAAGGAGAAAGTATGTTGAACAAAATTAGATATCTACATTAATTTTTAAAGTTACTAAAACTTATAACTTTAAGAATATATCAATACTATATATTCCCTTACTCCCACCTTCTACAAACAATATTAAGCACCCACTACATGCCAAAGTAGTAGGTCTAAGGATGCAAATAAAAGCAGAATGTCCCTAACTATGATCTAGTTGGAAATAATGTATATGAATAAATGCAAGCTGCAATATAGTACTGAGGTAGAACAGGAACATGTACAAGATTCAGTAGGACACAAAAGAAAGTGCCTCGGGGCTGGGCATTTAGCTCAGTGGCACAGCGCCTGCCTGGCAAGCGCAAGGTTGTGAGTTCGATTCCCGGTACCAGAGAAAAAACAAAACAAAAAACAAAAACAAAGAAAGTGCCTCACTTCTACCAAGGAAAAACTATTTGAATTGAGTTTATGTAGGGGGTGAAGGGTGGGGAGGTAGGGGGTAAGTGTGTGTGTTTGGTTTTTTTGAGACAGGATCTCACTATGTAGTTCAGGCTGGCCTTGAACTAACTAAGTAGTCCAAATTGACCTCAAACTCAGAGATCCTTCTGCCTCAGCCTCCAGACTGCTGGGATTACAGGCTTGCACCACCATACCTGGCTTTTAATTGAGTTTTTAAAACAAGGAACCGTGGGCTAATTCCAACACTAAATTAGTAGTACAGCATTTGCCTTGCTTGAGTGAGAACCTGGGTTCATTCACTTCCCAGCCCCCCCAAAAAAGCAGAGCCTGTTCCCAATTATTTACCACTAGAAGAAAATCAATCTAGACAGACCTATGAAAGGGTGTAGTTGGGAAAGAGCAAGCAGCAGGACTGACTGGAACTTCTACAGCAGGGCAGAGTAAAAAGATAAAGTGGAGAGCTATTTAGTAGCCAGACCAAGACAAACCCCCATGCTAAGGAGTTGGGTCTTTACTATGTTTAGTGGGACACTTTTGGCAGATCTGAAGCACAGGTGTGATTTAATCAAGCTGCAATTTTGGAAGGGTAATCCTGGAAGAAGGTGAGTCATGGAACAGGGAGAGGTAAGGCTAAGACAAGAGAACCAGTGAGGTAGTTCTTGCAATAGCCCAAAAGAAAAAGGATACAAGCCTTCCATTGGTATTAGAACAGGCTCAGGGAGCATAGAGAAGGAAGGCCAGTAGTGAGAGCCAGACTGCACACAAAAGCCAGATGGCACCAAGAAGAAGAATATGGCTCTGTTCAGCTAACTAGGCAACTGGAGTATTATAGTTCCACACCCTGAGAAACTTTAAAAATAAACTATGGTACAAACTGGAGAAAAAGCAAATCGGCAACTGAATGCTGACTCAGTCTTTCCCAAACTGACCTGAGGTAAGCTGCTTGCTATCACCGTAACTGTTATCTCATCTTTAAAACACACACAATAGTATAAGCTCATGAGACTGAAACTCTATCTTCAACTGAGTCAATTTCCTCTATTGTGCAATGACAATATTTATATTTGTCCTGTAGCATTTTGTGAAGGTTAGAGATAAAATGTAAAATGCCTAGCACGGTGTCATAGTAGGTGGTTATCAAATAGTAGTTGACTAATAATGGAAAACTAGAATAAAATAAAGAGGAAATAAGAAGAGATAGACTTTAGTAAATGTGAAGGACTAATGATCCAGTCATGAGTGCAAGGTAGCCCAGGAAGATATATAACTCATTATTTTACATCCTGTGCCTGCTAGACATAACTTGGTGAATATCTACTGAATACAGAAATAAATTACCAAGTGCATTTCATGAGCACCCTGAAAAAAACAACAAGGAGGGTACACTCTATATATAGTACAATTAAATAAATAAGTTTGGGATTGAACTTTAATTTTTTTTGGAACTTTAATTCTAACCTATCTTAGAGTAAGAATCTCCCAGGACCTCAGTTATTTATATATAAAATGAGGGTATTAGCACTTGTTTTACCAAGTCACTGAGGTTCAATACTGAATTCCAGTGGTAAAATCTTTTTTTGTTTGTTTGTTTTTTGTTTTTTGAGATAGGGTCTCACTACACAGCTCAGGCTGGCTTTTCAATCTTCCTGCTTCAGCCTCCCAAGTACTGGGATTTCAGGCATGTGCCAACATGCCTAGCTCAGGAGGTGATATCTAGTATTAAGAAATATTGTATAAAGCAAGGTCAAAAAAAAAAAAAAAACAACCCAGCGTGGTAGCACACGCCTATAATCCCAGCACACAGGAGGCTGAGGCAGGAGGATCACTGCGAGTTCAAGACCAGCCTGGGCTACAAAGTGAGCTCAAAGAGCCAGCCTGAACTGCATAGCAAGACCTTGTCTCAAAAAGACAAAAAAAAAATTTTTTTTTAAATAAAAAATAAAAAAATAAAGCAAGGTGAAAGGACAGACCTTGATGGAGGTAGGTATTTTGGTAGAGAAGACTGCTCTGATAAAATGAGAGTTCACTATAAACCTGAATAAAACATAGCAAGACACATGGATATCTGAGGGAGAATGTGCAAAGACCCTGGGATGGGAGACTGCTCAGATCATCCAGAAATGGGAAGAAGCCAATGTGGCAAAGCTGAGTATGGAGCATAAAATGAGAACAGGTTATATAAAGTCTTGTGGGTTATGTTAGGGATTATAGGTTTTATTCTGGGTAAGAAAGGGTACCATTGCAGAATTTTGAGCAGAGGAATGATGTGAGCCTATTTGGTTTTGAAAGAATCATTCTGGTTTTAGTGTAAAGAAGAGGAGACAGGGGCTGGGGATTTAGTTCAGCGGCAAAGTGACTGCCTGGCAAGCGCAAGGTTGTGAGTTCGGTTCCCGGTACCGGAGAAAAACCAAAAAAAAAAAAAAGAAGAGGAGACAAAAGCCAAGCCAGGGAGATCAGTTAGGGAGACAGGTAATGACAATAAAGGTGAGGAGAAAATGAGGAGCTGGTCCTTACTGGCTCAGCAACGCAGAAGCCGTGAGGCTGAAACTGGAGGTAAGGAATGGCTTGACTCCGTGTGTTTTAAAAGAGGAGCCAATGTGTTTTATTGAAGAACTGGGTGTAGAATTTGAAAAATAACATAACAGTGACAAGGATAACTCCAAGGATTTTGGCCTGAGCAACTAGTCAAATGGAACTGCCTTTTACTGAAAATAAGGAAGGACCAACATGTCAGGCAATTAAAGCTTGAGATATTTAATAGATACATAGGTAGACAAGAAGAAATAAAGCTGCTATGAGAACTATGAATGCTACTGTTAGCTGTATTTGGTAATATCCTTACCTTAGGAATGCAAAGGCTTCCTTTGAAATGGTACTGTTCCGCAGGCACAGCACCTACAGCAGTAACAGCCGTGTTAGAACGGTGTTAACCTTTCACAGACCTCCAAGCACCTTTATTCAAAGAGGCTGGACAGCCACAGTATACTAGCCAAAACGTACCCAAAGATTTTATTTAGCAAAGAAGTTACCCTACACATAAAACCAAACATGCAAGCAAACCAAGGTCATCTTTAGTATTCCTCCTACTAAAGAAAACGCTGAGGGGCTGGGGATTTAGCTCAGCGGCAAAAGCGCCTGCCTGGCAAGCGCAAGGTCATGAGTTCGGTTCCTGGTACCGGAGAAAAACCAAAAAATAAAAAAATAAAAAAATAAAAAGAAAGAAAGAAAACGCTGAAAAGTTTAAAAAAAAGAAAGCAAGTGCTGAAAATAAAGAAGTCCTACCTACATTGCTTTTTCATCCCATTTCCCCTCTCTAATTTTATTTTTTTCTAATATCAATCAACAAGTACTATGCATCTGCCATGAACAGCATTATAAGAGAGACTTTCTTAAATCCTTTTTAATTCTCAAACATTGCAAGACAATTTCATAAGTCAGGCAACTGAGTTCCAGAGAGATTATATTCCAAAAAATCATAGCTAATAACCAGCTACATGGACTGTCTTACTCCAAAGGCCATGCCTCTGCTATAGTACACTATATATCTCGATAATAACAACAATAATATGAATAATGACAAACAGTAATAATGAGAAGAGGTCACAACAGTGGCAGCTTCCCCCACTCTCCCTAGTTATTTAGTCTTACTCTGCCCTGCTAGTAGCCGTGTGAACGATCAGTAGTACAGCTTTACTAAGGAAGTGTTTGACATACAGAAGGCCTTTTTATAAATTAAATAATAAATACTAAATGTCTGTCCTTACGGTGCCATTAAAGAGAAAAGCCTATCCCTTGTGGATAACAATTTACTTCAACATGTTTGTTTCACAGTGGTGTGAATCAAACCCAGGGCCTTGTACATGCTACTGCAGGTGAGCTCTCTACCACTGAGCTACACCTCCACCCCACCCCTGCCCCAATTCCCTCAACATGTATATCTGAAAAGCTTATTATGCAAAAACAAGAAAATCTGAGTTAAGGTCACTGTCAAGGGGAACCTAAGGAAACATGATGACTAAATGTAATACAATATCCTGGATGGGTTCCTGGAACAGAAAAAGGACATGAGATGAAAACAAGGAAATCTGAGCTGGGTGCAGCAGCACACACCTGTAATCCCAGAATCTGCTAAGTGGAGAATTGCACGTTAAAGTCCCACCTGGGCAAACTAGTGAGACCCTGTCTCAAAATAAAAAATAGAAAAAGGCTAGGGTCAGTCAGGCTTGGTGGCACACACCTGTAAGCGAGGCACTGGGAGGCAGGATCGCCACAAGTTTGAGGCTAGCCTGGGCTACATAGTGAGTTCAAGGCCGCCCCAAACCACACTGCAAGATGAAGTCTCAAAAAAAAGGAAGGGAAGGGAAGGGGAGCGCAGGGGAGAAGAGGGGAGGGGAGAGGACGGAATGGAGGGAAGGGAAGGAAAGGAGTGGGGATGTAGCTCAGTGACAGTGTCTTTGGATTTGATTTCATAAAAAACCTAAGGAAATTTGAATAAAGTATGGGCCATAGTTAATACATAACAATATTGGTTCATTAATCCTGAAAAATGTTCCATACTAAGGTGAAATATTAGTAAGAGGGATACAGGAGCATATGTGAACTCTGTATTATCTTTGCAACTTTTCTGTAAATCTGAAATCATTCCAACACTGTTTATTTTTAAAGTCTATGTCAACTACTATGTTGAATTTTAAAGGAAATATAAAAACAATATAACAACACAGATGAACCTTCAAAATGTTACATTAAATGAATGAAGCTAGCTGGGCATGGTGGTGCATGCCTGTAATCCCAGCACTTGGGAGGCTGAGGCAGGAGGATCGTTGTGAGTTTGAGGCCAGCCTGGGCTACAAAGTGAGCTCAAGGCCAGGGGGAACTGCATAGCAAGACGCTGTCTCAAAAAAAAAAAAAAAAAAAAGACCAGAAAGAAGCCAGTTACAAAGGACCAAAGTACCATTGCATGATTCCATGTCTATAAAATATTCAGAAGAGGCAAATCTATAGAGAAAAGAAGCAGACTAGCAGTTGCCTAGGGCTGGAGGGACTAGGGCACTGAGTACAGCTAAGAAACACAGAGTTTCTTTTTGGGTGGTGAAATGATACACTTGTATTAAAGAGGTAAGCAATCCCATGGGCATTATAAGGCAAAGTCAAAATAGTTAACAACAAGTACACCTGGCAGGATATCCAGGTAGAAAGGGAGATACAGCCAAAAGAAATCCTTAGCTTTTTAGTGTTACAGACATGGCTAAGGATGTGCTCAAAGACATGAATTCTTTTCCTAGACAAGTGCATATACAGTTGGTAGGTACAAAAAGTGAGAAGATGGCCAGGCATGATGGCCCACACCTGTAATCCCAGCACTCAGGAGGCTGAGGCAGGAGGATTACCGTGAGCTCGAGGCCAGCCTAAGTTACAAAACAAGACCATGTCTCAAAAAAAAAGAAAAAGTGTGCATACTACCTCAGGAGACACCCTGAGACTTTTAATATCACCCAAGGACCCCATGCTAACCTAAGAGATCTTCACGGGCAGGAGTCATGTCCTAGTCTTCCTCTCAGGTACATTATAGACGAAGTTTGGTTTTGGTAGATAAATGATTAGAAAAAGTAAATGAATGATAATCATTGCTACCATTTATTAAGCACTGATAAAAATCCTGTAGATACTATTTTAACGAGTCTAATATGAATGGACTATAGAGTAATAAAAAAGTTGGGCATGGTGGTGTATGCCTGTAATCCCAGCATTTGGGAGGCTGAAGCAGGAGGATTGTTGTGAATTGGAGACCAGCCTGGGCTACAAAGTGAGCTCAAGGCCAGCCAGAACTGCATAGTGAGACTTGTCTCAAAAAGACATAAACAAATAAATAAATAAATAAATAAATAAAACCACATACTTTGTAAAGAATGCATGCAATATGCCTACTACTGACCAGCATGAAAGACGGCGTAGGGAAATGGGAGACCCTGGAGAGCTCAGGCTGGTTTCCCTCATCACTGACCACATACCTCCAAGTTATAGTACATGACTCAAAGTTCCCTCCAAGCCCAAGATCTATTAATTGTGACAAGCAACATAAATCAGGCTGAAAAGAATAGATATATTTTAAGAATATATATATTTGTTTAATGGTACTGGAGATTGAATCTAGGGGCATTCTACTACTACTGAGCTACATTCCCAGCTCTTTTTATTTTTTATTTTGAAACAAAGTGTTGCTAATTTGCCCCGGGTGGGGCTTGAACCTGCAATCCTCCCGCCTCAATTTTCCAGAGTGCTGGTATTTTTAAATGTGTTACTTCATATAGAAGTGGCAGTTGAATGGGAAGAAAGATCTAGATGAGACTTGCTTTGTCTCATTTTAATTTTTCAGATTTCTGAGTCTGCACAATAGCTAAGGATTTAATTATCCAAAAGCCAGGCTTAAATGGTTGACAACTTTCTGGAAGACATTCAAATTGTGGTGTGAAGTCTTCCTTTCAGCACTGGGAAATGTGCTTTCTCTCCTCCGCAAGGCTTGGCATTATTTATCAGGACAAAAGTAATCTATTTTGAGACTGAATCCACAAATACTCCTCCCCCTAATCAGCAAATGAAGAGCAACTAGGGCTCTGCAACTGGAAGAGGGGGTAACTCCAGTGAGTGAATAAATGAGGACACAGCTACCATAGTCAGTTATAAAAATACTTGTTCTGCGAATTCTGGAGCCAGGAACAAAGAAAGGACTGAACAGCTACCAAAAAACTAAAGTCATGGGGCAAAATCTAGTGTGTGAGGGACCTCTAAACATGAAAGCCCAGGATAGGTGTGACTGCAGTAGTTCAGAAACCTTTAAGACAAGCAAATGGGCACTGTTTTATGAATCTTAACATGTTTGTATTATTAATATTATTTAAAACACCATCTATTGAATATATACATCCTTTGTGCTAAGTAGTTTACTTATACAATTTAAATTAATCTTTATACCAATCTTCTGCTAGAGGCATTATTAAGATATTTGTCTGGTTTTTGTTTATTTAGGTTTTTTATTTTTTTGCAGTACTGGAGATTGAACCCAGGACCTTCATACTGAGCTGCATTCCCATCCTGCCCTCTCCCTTTTAAATTTTGAGACAAGGGGGCAGGGAAATAGCTCAGCAGCACAAGTACAAGGTCCTGAGTTTGATTCCCAGCACCAAAAAAAAAAATAAATTTTGAGACATGGTCTTCCTAAATTGCCCAAAGTGGGGGCTTGAGCTTGTGATTCTTCTGCCTCAGTCTCCCAGAGTGCTGGGATTACAAGCAGTACCATCATACCCAGCTTGTCTCTATTTTCTGAAAGAAAAAACAGAAGTTTATATAAATTGTCTAAAATTAGCTGGGTGTGGTGGTATATGCCTGTAATCCCAGCACTTGGCAGGATGCAATAGAAGGATTGCCACAAGTTCCGAGGTCAGCCTATACTACATAGTGAATTTAAAGCCAACCTGAACTACATAGTAACACTCTGTCTCAAAATAAACAAATAAATAAATAGACTAAAGTTATAGGGTGAAAAACTGAAGGTTAGCCTGAATCCAAAGCCCATGTTTTCCATTCTGTCACACTACCTATTTTTTTTTTTCAAGGATAGCAAAGTTTTGTTAAAGGTAGGAAAAGAAACAGGCAGGGCAAGTTTGGCCAAGTAAATGTAGGAAAAAAAATACAGCTGGCTATGCGAGGGCAGACCTCCATGTAGGAGAGAACACAGTGGCTTCTGTCACACTACTTCTTAAAATAGTGCTGCCTCAGTTACTTTCTCATCATTGAAAATACCAAAAGCCACAAGATAAAGGAGGAAAGCTTTACTTTAGCTCACAGTTTGTAAAGGTTCCAGTCCATAGTCAGCTAGCCTCTAGGGCAGGGGGGCA